ATGACCTTCTTTTAAAAGTAAAGCATCGAGGATTCGAAATAATTGATGACATTGTCATTATAGGAGTAGGAGTAGAGTAGCTTTAGATAGTAAACTCTGCTGGAACAAACATATTGATCAACAAATAGGAAAAGCAACAAAATTTTACAACATTTAATGTTTTTTGGACCTACAAAAGAACGTTTGGAAAAAATGGGGTCTGAAGCCAACTATGATGCACTGGATATACTTCGCTATAGTTAAACCCAGAATTACCTACGCCTCACGTATATGGTGACCGAAAACTAAGCAACAAACGGCACAAGTCAAACTAAACAAGCTACAAACCAAACAAACATTGTAAGCTGAATAAGAGCTTATTCAGGCAAAAATGTGCTTTTTCAGTCGAAAAATGGCTTATTCAGCTTTTACTCAGTTCAAATTGTTTGTTGGGAAGGCTTGCTACTATTTCTATAACTGGAGCAATGCGTAGTACTCCCTCTACAGCCTTAGATGCTTTACCCAGACAACCAGAAGTCGTATAAAAATGTGCAGACAGTATCGTAAATTGCTACAGTTTACGTCAAAATCGCATATAAGAATGGCATGCATCGCATTATGATTAAGTTAAATCGTATAGAATGCAAATTTCCGACCTACATGCGATGATTCAATTTTCCGTCGTACTGTATCACAAATCAAATCGGATTACATCGTGAGACTTTTCAAAGTGAATTTGTTATTACAGATTAAATCGTATATGATGTTAAATCTACTCGTTTAAAATTAAATTAAAATTTGCACGTATATGGCCTCCACTTTTGTACGTATAAGCCATTTCTTTGCATTCTATACGATTTGTTGGTTTGTATATATGTTTGTATATCACGAAAACAACTTTGAATATACGTGCATTCTGGTTGTCTGGGTACTCAATATCCTTCCTCTTCATCAATTTATTCAACTGGATGCAGTGAAAAGTGCAACGGTCCATGAATTTCTTCGATGGAGATCTTATTGGACATTTGAGCATTCTAAAAGAGTTTCAGATAAGTCCAATATTGAACGAAGATTGTATGCTAAAGCATCATTATTTCAACCATAATTTATAAGTTCCTGATGAAACTCGCGTTGACTGGGATGCAGGAAGACTGAATATTAGTTCTGGGCAAGGTTGCAAATACTCATTTCAGCTAAAATAATGTTTTTCGGAATAGTAAAACCAAAAGATGGTATGATGACATGTTTTACTTGTAACTTAAAAGAAGAGGTTACAAAGTATACGTTTGAGACATAAAACCTGTAAATTTTGCTTTCTATGAGTCACAATCAGCGATTTGCTGATCGCTGAGTGAGTGAGTGAGTGAGTGTGTGAAAAATCGCTGATTGTGACTCTAATGAAGTGAAATAAACAGGTTTAATACGTCAAACATATTCTTTGCAACCTCTACTTGTATCTTACCTATTCAAAATATGATAATAGCATCTAATTATTTCATAATAAAAAAAAACATTATTTTAGCTGAAATGAGTATTTGCAACCTTGGTTCTGGATCATTAATTTTTTATACAGATGGATCGAAACAAGATAATATGGTCGCGGCCGGTATTACCGGTTCTGGGGTTAACTTCTCGGTGTCCATGGGAAAATGGCCGACAGTATTTCAAGCTGAAATATATGCCATCTTAGAATGTGCAATGATTTGCATAAAAATGAACTATAAAAATGCGAATATTTGCATTTGTTCAGATATTCATGCAGCGCTGAATGCTTTGAAATTAAAAACTTATACCTCAAAACTGGTGTGGGAATGTACTAAACTATTACAGCAACTGTTCTGTTGAAGTACGGTTAACTTTTATTGGGTTCCTGGTCATTGTGGAATCGAAGGAAACGTAAAAGCTGATCCATTGGCAAAAATAGGGTCATTCACGAAATTCGTCCTGAACCATTTTTTGAACTTTATTTTTGTGCTTTAAATGGGGGAAAAACAAAGGTACAGTACAATTCGAGCAGTACCTTAAATTCTCGGCAATCTAAACGATTTATAAAGCCGAATGCTTAGCATACACAAAAATTAGTTAATCTTTCTAAAAAAGATTTGAGTACATACGCTGGTTTGATAACAGGACACTGTCCTTGTAAATATCACCTGAAAATCATTGGTAAACTTCATGAAGATAAATTTCGCTTTTTTAACTTAAAGAGTGAAAGCTCTAAACATTTGCTGTGTGACTGTGTTGCACTATTTCATAAACGATCTGCAGATATCTTGATAATTGTCTGATGAGACCTTGGGAAATCTGGGCTGCTGCTCCCAATCAGGTAATACATTTAATAAGGAATGTATTACCTGGTTGGGATAATTGCTTACAACAGTAGTGGTAGTTACTCAAACAAAAGTGGCTTACCACTACGTTATGGCATAAATAAAAAGAGGATACACCACAATAGATCAAAGTAATGGTCGCGGAGGTATTATGTCCCCAACATGTTGTTGGTGAGTGAAGTTATTTTGTTTTCAAAGGTCCACCTAGAAAGCAATCTAGGAATACCCCGTAATATACTCAGAAAGCCTCTCGTATTGAACCTCGACACATATTGAACAAACTAGGAGGTAGCGGTAATGTTCCGAAAGCCCCACGTCCGGATTTTAAATTATTTGATTTTGACAGGGACTTTCCACGACCTTCAGGTTTTTCCATGGCTCCAGTTTTACAGCCAGGGCAATATGGAATTGTGGATAGCATCCTCGATTTTTTGAATGAATCTAATCCATGAGGAACATTATTATTTTAATGATTCCAATATTGAAAACTCCTTTGAAGCAACTAGCTTCTAAATGGCATTGCATTCGTCGATCATCAGCTATGATGTTTGTGTTTTGTAGTTTTTAGTATCTTTTCTGTCATCGTTGTCCTTTCCCAAAGCCTCTCTTTTTATTTTTCATTGCAGTTGCCAACAATTATCAGTTCAGCTCGACAGATCAAGAGCACTGCTCCCATTATCAATCGTCGAAAAACAACCATTTATAGGCGATGTAAATTAGGTAAACGCTCCTATAGTTGCGCTACGTTGGCTACGTTAGATGCGTTAGGTTCCCATAGACCTTTTTGACGTTTTCCCACTAGTCTGTTTCCCTCTTGCTCGCACTCGTTCGCTTTAAATGGTACAGTATTGTGCGCCGATTAAACGTCAAAAAGCTCTATAGTTGTGTATAAGGTGATCCAAGAGACGTTTCTCAGTGGAAATGACAGCTTGAAATCATGAGTGTGTGAGTGATCTGGTGTTAATGGTGCTGAATGTAAACATAAACAAAGCAGAAATCATATGAGAATAAATTGCCAGTTCTACTGTGATCTGTCAAAAGTTCTTGGTAAACATAAAAGTCAGCTGATCGCAACTGTCTCGTGGACAACCTTATGGAGACTCCATACACAACTATAAGAACCTAACGCATCTAACGTACCGTAACTATAGGAGCGTTTACCCTATATCAATCGCATCCTTGTGTATCTTTTCCGTGACCCCTTCCATACCTGTTAATATATTGTAGCCTATAACCTTGAGTATGCCACGAGTATTCGGACCCCTTTTGTGCTAACTCTACTCACTAAGATTATTTCACAGATTTCTGTAAAATTTTACTGAAATTTCAACAGCTGAACGTTCGGTTAACAGTTCGGTGATTTTTCACAGTTTTTCTGAAGTTTGAAAGAAATCTGTGGAATAATCTTATTGTGTAGTATTAATAAACATTGTAAACAGTTAATTTAATTTAGGCTCCGTAAAGCTTTCGCGTTTAAGCCTTTATAAATAAACGATTCTATAAAAAAAAATCATGCTTCGAAATTTAAATTTCCTATAATTTTGTGTGTGGCGTTCTTGTTTCCGAAGGAGAAAATAACATTTCCATTTGTTTCTCCTACGCACATGATGCAATCGGTTCTTTTTTAGGCTCTTTTGTTCATGATAACGAGGCTTCAAATAGAATCTCAGATACATCATTTTGAAATATGTGTCTACTTCATTTTCAGTGTGGTGCTCGAAGTGTTCATTTCTTCATGTTTGGCCAAATTTCAGTAGTTTCGTTATGTTCAATTGAGGTTTATTAAATGCCTTTTCTATGTACGGTGCACCCACCCATCCCCTATATGATTAATTGATATGTATGTGACCCACGCGTTAGGTTTATACTGAAGTAAAGACTTGTTTTTTGTGGAGACTTATTTTGCTTATTATTTCGTCAATTGCATCATCGCATTTTAGCTCCAACAAATGCACTTTCAACAGTGCCATACATTATTCCGAACCAAGTCCTCCTGGCTAGAATCTTGGCTGCCATGTTCTCTCACTCTCACCATCGGCAGCGGCAGCAGCAGCATGGTCGGTTGGTCGTCGCGTGATGTCTAACAACATTGAGCTTGATGTGCGATTTATTCTCTCGATTACCCGCGCCTTGTATGTATGTATGGTATGGCAGCTACATACATGATGAGTTTATGCGTATCCAGACGACGTGATGCGATGCGGTGCGACGACCGGAGGAGGTTAATATTGAATAGTGTCGATGGTGCCAATGAGCCGTCTGGACAGCTATCATAGCTGGTAACGCTCACATGTGGGCGACGATGTTGTGTCACAGTGTACAGTATCGTATTATTTCTCTCTGGGTCTGCAGCAATACATCATAGAGTGCGTTGCGCTTCAAGTCGTTAGTTAATAGGCTGGCTATGATTAGACATGAGAATGAGGCTTTAGAATAGAATCATATCATTAAATTATCCTGTTCAATTGCGCTATCAAATCTGGATGATGTTGCAGTAGCATTAAATTTAATGAAAATTTGTATTCCAGTATGGCGCCAATACGTTTTCCGGACTCAGTACCGTCGGTCAGTTTCTGAGAGAGGGAGAATGTGAGCATTTTGTCAGAGAGAATACGAGGAAGATGGTCGATTGAGTCGCGAGTGTACTAATATTGGGGACTGGGTGTGTTGATTTCTCGGTTCGTTCCGTCATTGACTGTGCCGCCGCCGTCGTCGCTGCGTTCAAGACTTGTTATTGTTGCTGGTGAGATCATACACCTTTTTTCACTATAGATTGTGTGAACACAGTTATTTGGACCGCACTGGACACACCAAGGGAGTGTGTGACTATCGAGCAAGTGCTGGGGTCCATTTGCTGGCTACGTACTCCGCCCATCGTTTGGAATTGGATTTAACGCATCACTGTCTCCAAATTTCACATTTTGGGGCACAAATCCAACTACCATTTATGGGAATACAACCCGGTGACCTAGCTCGGTGGCCCAAATTGACAACGCGAGTGTAATCTGCACCTTAAGGTGCTGCTGGATAGTGCCCTAGTTACGGTTGGGGATGCAAGCTTGCAATATTAGTGGTTCAGTGATATTTCAGGAAGCAAATTAACCATTGAGAATACATATGTGCAGTGTGAATTGCTGAGCTTTGCTTTTTCTACGGAACAACTGCTTAATAGAGATATACGATTTTCATTATTTGTTCGCTTGTCTGTGTTTGCATCAGCTTTTTCGTTCACGGTAGTCTTTCTTTTCTCACCGTGGATGATATTCTAATTTTGGTGCTAAGGAGGAAGATTCTACCACATTTTCCCGATGTACATAGTTATAATCACGCCAAAAAGGAAAAGTTTCAATCATAGTTCACATGAATATTCAACCGCAGAATAGTATAAGTGGAAATCCAAGTAGGCAGAAAATGCGCTGAGTGAGTAAAGTTGGCTCTTCAAGGCACAGGAAAAAAGAAGTTTATAGAAAAAAAAAGGAAAGTGTAGAATTTTATTTTTGGAAATCATTAGTGTATAGCGTATGCAGTGTGTGTCTCATATGTGTGTTGTATCATCCAACTCGACTTAGTGTGTATTAAAAATACCACAGAGCTCGCCAGTATAGCACGGTGTGGTATGTGCATGTCATACGACTGAAAGTGTGAAGCGCGAGAAAGTCTCGTTACTTTAAGGAAGCGTGAAAAGAGCCAACTCGAAGAATAGCAGCAGAAGATTTGTGAAAATTCGTCAAGAGATTTTATGTAATACGATAGCTCTGTTACGCACTGTGACGGAATTCGGATGTTTCACGGATAGTATCAATAGACGGTCGTGGTGCTTTGTGATCAAGACAAAAGAGTAATAAGTATATTCAGCATATTTGCTTAAATTTCTCCATACGAACGACGGCGGCGAAGTTTGCACAACATTGGAATCACAACGGCTCTGCTTGTGCATGGTAAGCATATAATATGTACCGTATTCGAGATTTTCTTTTAATCATACTAATGTGCCTTTTGTAAATTGGGTTGGCAGTATTACTTGAACCGAACATGTTACATTTAATAGATTTTCAAAGGTTACAGATCCTGAAAAAAAAAACATGTTGAATTGAACGGGTAAATCAAGGAATGGTATAGACAACTTAGATATACAGTGAACTCTCTGCAACTTGATATTGATGGGACCATCGAGTTATAGAATTATCCAGTTGTAGAACAACAATCCCACACGAAATCGTCATCACAGTAGCCATGAAAATCTTTGTTACTTTGGTTCTATAACTCTATATCGAGTTAGTGGACATAGAGTTGAGGAGAGTTGACTGTATTTCCGTAAATCTTCAAATAACTTATATTATTAACGAAAATAAAAAAAAACATAATATATACATATATACATGATTCTATTTCAGATTTTGTCCGACAGAATTTGTAATGTGGTCGTCGGAAGCTTTTTAAATAATTTTGTAATTTTTATATTAGCTAAATTGTTGAACAAAGTTTATTTTTTCAAATGCATTCCGGCTAGATAATCAACTCATGAAGGTTTTATACGAAAATGTTATTTCTGAAAAAACTTGCTTATACGCTACTGTCCATTGTAAGTACTGCCATTATTATCGGTACTGTTGAATACCTGAAAACCTCACACGCGACAATTGCCTTTACTCTTGTTCTGTTCGTAAAACATAGTGTCGGTCATAAAGTGCGCTGTATTCGCACAATGATGCTCTATAATGCGCACTATGTCCGACGTTATGTGTAACGTCCAGGACGAAGGTAAAATCGTATGCCGCTTGTGGGATTTTCCGGTGTTTAACTTGACCAATAATATATTGATGTATGAAACATGTACAGTTGATGTCAAGAAAAGTTAAACATCAATATGAATTGCAATTTTTTTGATCGCATAGACATCCTTAAATCGAAAATTGAGACTTGTAAACATTGTCTATACAGCTTACGCAACTCTCACTTTTTCAGCGAGGGAGAGGTAATTGTTTTACCCATTACACTCTAACTTGAAATCATCCATTAATGAGTAAAAATCCACTCTAGTAAAGAGAGTTAACTCATTGTTGGGTAATTTTTTAAACCATTTAATCAGTATCTGTTATCCATTAATGAGTAACTGTTAACCATTAAATTAAATTTCTCATTAAATGGGTATACAAAATTACACATTAATGAGTTGGGCCACTTTACTGAGGTTGATTTTTACTCAATATTCGGTACTTTCAAGTTAGAATGTAAGACACTGTATTACCAACCGATGGAAACTAACGATTTAATATTGGCTCACTACTTGACTAGCCTATTGGTCCCAAGCAAATCGATTCACGTTCTCCATTCTAGTAGAAATTCTAGTTCTACACTATGTGTGTTTGGATTTGCTATGAAAGTTTGACAAATAAAATGAGGATGAAATGGATTTTCCTATGTTTCGAGGGGTGCATCGATTAGCTTGGGACCGAAGATAGTACCAGAGCTGAGCCAAAAAGTTGAACATGTTACCTCTATGATATTACCAAAAATCAATACGAAACTAACGATTTTAAATTGGCTCATTACTTGACTAGCCCTTTGGTCCCAAGAACATCTATAAGCGTACCCCATTTTCGTACTAGAATCTGTCAAAGCTTGTTTTTGTTTTGATTTGCCTTATAAATTTGACAGAGTTTTATGAAGGGTTCGTGGATTTTCCTATGTTTCAAGATGTATTTCAATTAGCTTGGGACCGAAGGTCTGCCTGATCCAAAAAAATGAGCATATTGCTTCGGGACCCTCTGATCTTAGTGTTAGTCTATGGTATTACAGTATTATTCCTTCTTTGGGAACACACATTTTGTTTTTCAATTGCCAAAAACAGATAAATTTTCATTTCCGAAATAATTTGTTTAAATTGACAGTTCTAATCCGTGTGACAAACGCGATTTTACAAACTTTGTACACTTTGAAGACATCTGCTAACTGTATCATGTTTACTTTTTTCAGTTAGCGGACTTTCTGTTAAAAGACATTTGAGTTAAAAGTCCTTCAGTTAGTGAACGTCTAGTGAACTCTTTTAAGCTACACTGTGGCAAATAAACCTGAGAATTCGCTAAGGCATGACTTATGAACCTGAACAATGTTGGTCTCATAAGACTTATGAATTCCATAAGCACGAATTATACATAATTATCACACTACAAGATGGTTCTTATAAGCATTTAGCCTAATCGATTTCTCAATCGTTGATAGGCGGGAGCACAAATCACAGACTCAATAATCTGAACACTCAAGGTTCGAGTCCAGTCTGTTCAATTTTATAATACTTTTTTTAAGTTTTATTGAGCTGATTTAATTATATTTACTTATGAATTATGTTTCATAAGCCGCAACAACATTAGAATCATAACGGAAATACCTTGTGGCGAAATATAATTAATGGTTCTTATGGAATTCTTTAGTTTTTTTGTCTCAGTTTAGTCAACTGTGGCACTAGATTAAAGCAGAGTCAATGTTATAATAAGAGTCCCGCCAAGAGTGAAGCCAGAAGTACCAATCGAACTGTCAAGCGGGGTACTTAAGAAGCAAAGTAAATAAACATTATAGACCTGTGCACGTGCTTCAACTACTGAAATTTTTTTGACACAACAGCGGGGTCCTGTTTACTTAAAATGAACACATGAATAATGCTCACGTAATATTTGAAAAAGGCTAGGTCGTTTTCACGAGAACCGAAGTACGACCACGAAAACCAAAAGCACTATCGGGAAGGGGAGAATTTCATCTGCCCGATGGTGTTGTTAGTTTTCGTGAGCGTATTCGGTTCGCGCGAAAAAGACTTAACAAGTTTTGTGTGCATAAGTTGATAGAACCGTTTCAAATGTTACGTGAGTATTATTCATGTGTTCATTTTTAGTAAACAGGGCCCCACTGTTGTGTCACTTTTTGTCGAGTGAGTGAACTTAAATCCATCCGTGCACTCGTCTATTGTTCCCACTGCCCGTGAACTACATTACTGACAATATTTTAGTAAATTTAGATGAAAAACATTACTTCGCCTTATTTAGTACATTGTGGTATTTATAAGTTATACCAAGCACTTGTTTGAAAAGTTTTCAAGTTCTATAATTGTTTTTGTCTCCCAGAAGCTCCGTTATCGACATGACACTTCTGAATGAAAGTCATCCGATGCTAAAAGATCTGGTTGCCGTTTACTCTGACGAAAAATAAATCACAAACAGTGCTGATTGTTCGCAATATTTTCTCTTGCTGGACTCTTATTATAACATCGACTCTGGATTAACGGAGAGCAACAATACTACAATCATGTCTGTCATAGGTACAAAGAGATAAAAGCTTGAAACAGTATGGTAAGTGTATCAATTTTTGGCCCTGGCTGTTCTCTAATTGATTTTACAGATGCATGCAGATGATGTACGGCGCCTAAAGACAATAAGGCAACATCCATGAATAAGCATATTTTTACCACTTTTAGACCCCCCTCCTTCCCCATCGTATCGTATTTTGCTATACCTAATATATGTTTGGTCACGTAATCTGAGACTCAATTGCTACACACAAAATCACGGCCTCCCTGTTCGGTAATTTTTTACTGGGTTTTTGAACAGCTGAAAAAGTCAGTAAACTTAAAAAAATTGTAAAAAATTGTATAAAAGTGATTTTTTCTTGAAATTTATACAGACTGTGTTCTTATTACATTTATTTGATGATAAAAATAAAATATGTTAAAATTGTTCGTTGCATTACGTGTGACCGTTATTTTCAGTTTACTGACTTTTTCAGCTGTTTGAAAACCCAGTAAAAAATTACTGACCCCAGTAAAATAATCTCTGTGTGTACGTCATTTATGCATGAAAACTTTGGTTTTCCCATTGTAATTTCCATACAAACTTCAAATGGTTTGTGTTGAGTTAGTTTCTTCCAAATGAGTTGAAAATCTTTTATTGTATATGTTTTCATGGGTTATTCGTTCAATCATATTTAAAAACTGTATAGATTGTTTCAGAAGCGGAAAAGTACGTGTGAAAAATAAATAATGGAATTAAACATTCAGAAAACGGTTTCTTTGGACCGCATGAACTGTCCAATTTGGTTTCCCAACTGTTTCGAAGTCATTACGATCATTGACTTAAATAAATTAATTAAAAACAAATACGGACATAAGAAAGATACCGATAATATGCAACATTTTTGGCAGAAACAAGTGACATTTACCACAACTACTATACTTTTTTATTTATTAGGGCAGCTTTCAAATGAATTGGTATAGTAGGCGGTAGACTAGGTACAACATTTTTTGAATAATAAATAAGCATTGTTTTGTAGTTGCTACTCCGTTTATGATCAGAACAAGTGGAATTACCCAGAGAACCACATACATGGCGCTTGGGATTAGCTTATCCATCTTGAATGTGCAAGTTCACTAATTCAAGTTATGATCAGCACCGGCGCCGACTAAGGATGATTATAGTATTTTTTTTATCCATTTCGTTTATTTGGAAGGCTCAATCGCGTTAGCTTTACGGAGCCGATAATTCATTGTTCACTGTTTGTAACAAAATTCACTTAATTCTATGTCTAGTAGGAGTTGGGCCGATTACTCGCGGCTTACTCGAGGTTAGAGGGGTACATTGTTAAGGATAGGATCAGGGGAGGAGCTTGGGGATAAGGTTTCGTTGTCTCATCAGAGTGTTGTCACCAGTATGAATGGTAGTGCTGTTCTAGCTTCGTCTGGAGTTCGACCGGCTATGGTGACCAGTGGGCGACGATGAGAATCATCGAGACGAGGGGACAAGACAAACAAAAACTAATAAAGAGAGACAAAAGACAAACGAATTAAATTCTTATACTAGACATTTGAAGAAACACATAAACGGACTGCATATAGCAGAGATCACGGGTTGCCAACACGTCTCTGATAGGAACATAGGGTTGTCTTCCTTGGGCC